ATATCCCATGTTACAAGAATCCAAATCTGATACTTTCGAGGACTACAATCTTATTTAATTTGTAATTAATTCCATTCCTTAAATGTACATTGTAACGTGAAGGGGGTATGGCGGTGGGGGTGGGGGGGGGGGCTGCCATTAAAATGGCCTTTCGGGGGCACGTTGGGACAAATGTCTCTTACCACCCCCTAAAGAACAATATAATTTTCAAAGGACAACATTAATTAACTAATATTTAATTAATTAAGACTGCATGTTCGAAATAATACAAAAAAAAAAAAGCCATTTTAGGACATTTTCTCGTACCAATTCTTTGATTGACCTAAATTTCATGGTCAACATTTTATATTTATTAAATGTGTGACCTTCTAAAGAATCGATCCATTTGTTGTCCTACCTCTATACTCTATAGCATATCTCTTAAAGATCCCTTCTTTGATTCTTATTTTTTTTAAATCCAATGTGTGTTGATTAATAGTTTCCAACTCCATAGTTGTTGAAATATATTTAAATTTTAACTAGTGATAAGATTAAATAATAGTGAATATTATCATATTACAGAATTTTGGAGGAATATTCTTACGTAATGGGTTCATGCGGTACACTTCTCTTACTTTTCCATCGCGTCGTACTCTAGTTTTTGTCGTACGTACTGCTTATGTTGATCCGGCTATTGTTTACTAAGTTACTGTTCTTACAGGTGGAAGATAATTATTCAGCGACTGACGTAGAGATTGAATTAGCTGGATATTATTTAAATATGTACTGACAGCTCATTACGCATTTATCGGTGTATGTAACAAAGTAAAATGCTTGTCACATCTACAACAATCCATCAAACAACAATATAATTAAAGAATATAAGTATTTATACCATTCATAAAATATAGTCTAGAAATAACTTCTTGGAATTGACATATATTTTGATTGGTTATAAACACAAGGGTTAATTATCAACATATGCAATGCAATTAATTATTAATTGTGGTTAAATTACAAAGTTGGACTTTGAGTAACGCTACAGCACATTTTCTCTAGATATATGTGTCTCAATTTGCATGTATTGGCTTTTGATTGCTCCTATAGCTAGGCACTAATATTTAAGTGTCCCTATATTATAATTTATAATAAAAACAAAAAATCAAATGCACGTGCAATTTCATCGAGCAACATTTATAAAAAGAAAAAAATCATCTTGAAGTATAGTTGATTTTTTTTTTATTTAAACATGATTTATTTTTATTTATTTGTAATTTAATTGGAATTTATATGAAAGGGTAAACTGCATACATAAATCTAATAAGTATAGAATTGTTTAGTGCAATGATTTGCACTATCTTTTATAATTTTTAGACGTTGATATTGCTCGTTATTTTTATTAATTTTATGAATAAAAGGCAGATTCAGAAACAATATTATCAATTACAGAAGAACAAATGTAACCACAATTTTGACAATGTGTGAGATTTTGACCATAACTCACTCATACGATGATGTCGGATTGACCTGATTCAAGTGGCGTTCGAAAGTCAACTCAAGATCTACAAATTTTCATATTTTGACTTTTTTAAAATTCAAACACTAATAACTAATAAGGTCAAAAAAAATCAAGCTTGAAGAGAGAAATTAAGTCCATTTAAATGGGCCTTATTATTCGGGTCAAATTATCGGATGTAGCCCAGCCCAACAGAGCCAGCTGGGCGACTCTGCCTAATATCATTTAATTGGGCCTTATTATTAGGCCTGCCAGAACGGCGTTTCCTAATACGGTTGCGGATATTACCGAACATGGTAATATCTCGTGGAATATTAATCTGATTAACGAGACCTTTTGCACGGTCGATAGAGATAGACCTTTGGCAATTCCAGTGGGGAGTTCTTTCGTAAAGGAACCGGTAGTCTGGCATTACCCTTAACTCGAGTCGATTTACGGTGATATCTTGTTATCATCATACTCTGAGGAGCTGGCGCAATGGCGAGGCTTTGAATTTCGGGTATAGCAAAAGCATGTGGAATAATATATGGAATTTGGATGTACCTCCCAAATTCCGTAACATTTATTTGGAGAGCAGCCTCGGATATTTTACCAACCAACGTCGAAATTTTCCAAACGAAAGATTCGGGAATTAGCTAAACCGTTTCATTTTTTGTCGATTTTCTTCTGTTAAAAGACAAGGTAAATACACTAACAAAAATAATAAAACATGAGAGAAAATCATCCAATAAAGATTAACAAATTTGTCAATTATACAAGTAAATCATACTTGTATCCATACCGATTATAATGTATATATATGTGTGTGTATATATATATATATATATATAAAGAAAAAAGAAATGTTTTTACTAGACATATTATTCACAACAACTCACAATTTGAAAACAAGTTCTCTTTCCCATCTTTGAGGTTCATAAGGAACGTGACTAACAATTCTTACAGCTTCAGGGGAAGGCAGCTCGTCGTTATCCGGAACCTTCGCATGCCAGACAAAACTATTCTCATGCTCGTATTTTTGGAGCAACAGAATCAACTCATCAATCACTTGCTTACAAACCAATTTCGACGAGTCTTCTCTTGGTTGGCTTTTCTTTGCATTTGCTATAGACCAACGGAGATATCCAATCGCGGGCCCCACTTTACCATCGCTCTTTAGGCCTTCCACAAAGTATTTGCAACTCAACATCTCGTGCAAGATTCTGCAACTCCACATAAAATCCTATATACATATATACACGTATATCGTTAAGCATTATGAGTTTAGCATATATATGCAAAATATTGGAAATTGTCATTGATGAAAAATGAAATGCTCCCTCCGTTTCTTTTTTAAGTGTCACTCTAGACGGATAATTTTTTCAAGGACAATTAATTAAAAAGAAAATTCCAATTTTACCCCAACATTAATGAAATGAGTAATAAAAAAATGAAAAGCCACAAAGGGGTAATTTGGTAAAATAAGGATTTTTTTTTTCTCGTTAATTCAAGATAATTGGTGTGCATTTACCTTAAACGACACTTGAAAAAGAAACCGAGGGAGTAGTATAAAAGTTAAACACAAGAGAAAAGAAAAGAAAAACCCCGATAATCATTTTACACGTTTTAAGGGAAATTGAGTCTCTGTGAATCCAAAGTGCACGCAGACATACCAGAAAACGAGGTGAAATATCCTTGCATACTTCGGTTGAGTTTTGGAATATACCAATAGCTTCAACTAAAGTTTCTTTAACACCACAGTGCAATTTCGCTAAAAGCCCTCCTGTATTACTTTTTTCTTCCCCCTTTCTTGCAGTTACAGCCTATCAAATTCAAAAAAAGATAAATAAATTAGATAAATAAGAGACACGGTTATCAAAGAAAACAAGAGCATACGTAACACATGTTCTAATTGGATTGAATTGTTTCGAATCTACTTCGAATTCAGAGCTACGAATTTGAAATACATTATAGAACGACTTCATCCAAACATGCTCGAATGATTATTCAAACAAACCTGAGCATCTGCCACGCAAATTAAGCTCATGATACTAGACACGGTAGGTGTAGCTTCGGGCGGCATTTCTCCTGTCCAAAGTGCGATACTTACAAGTTCGTTGACATATACATACACTCCGGCCGCTTTTCTGAAAAGGTTTGCAGATTGAACTAGATCTACACAGATGAACAAGAAAAAAAAAAGGATCTTTAGCATTTATTATACACATTGGAATCAAGAAAACTAAAATTGATGCCCACCTGATGGTAGAATTTCCAAAGCCCGTTCACGAAGTAAAGCAGCGTAAACGAAAAGTGTCATTACAAGCTCGAAACGGACATCGTTAATCTGATAGAATTTCGGGCCTTGGAAAATAGGTGGCTGAATAAGCCCGCTGCACCATCTTATTTTAAGCTCCGAAATCCACCGCTTTACCTGAACATGCCCTTGATTCAAATCGATGTGACGAACAAGATTTTCCAACAAGGGTAAGTAGCTCTCGACTTTCTGAATGTCCTGTTAGAGAGTTATAAACAACAAACTTAATAACCATATTATCTCGAAAAATGTTCCTTAACAAAACAACACCAAACGGGCCTTCTTTTTTCTTCTGTACCTGTTCGCAACGGGATGTGAGACCGCCAGACATTTCTCTGGCGATGGCTTCTGGAATGAAGCTGTTTTCGTTAATGAAATCTTCGATTGCTTTACGCTTGGCGCTTAGCTCTTTGAGCTGCTCCAGTGTGAAAGAACCGCTTGCAACAATCACATTTTCGTATATAATCTAGCAATTACAACGTGTTATTAATTATCGGTTCATATAATCGTAATAATCGGAGACCAAAGAAATCAGCATCAAATGTCATTTCGTGATGTAATTCCAAGGAACTAAACAACTGTTCTTGACAATAGGCAAGAATCACAGATAATCAAATCAGCTTGTAAAAATTGTTATCAGATTCAACCAACAAATCAACAGAAATGAATTCAAAAGTGCAGAACATAATACAAAATTGTATATATACATAATATATATATATATATACATACCGGCTTGGTTTTCAACTTAGCCGGGCTTGAATAACTGATCATCATCTTCACGAAAAACAATGCGCTTAACGAACACCCACCAAATAATAATTTCTTAACGAAGACCGATCAAAATCCTGTCTTTCTACTAAATCTCATTACCAAAGGGGGAAAAACCCTAGCAGCTTAAAAAAATCGACAGCTCCACCTCAATAATTCAACAAAGTATCAGAATATTCTCGAATCGCATCATCCAATACGGAATCGCGGAAGATCGATTTGAAGGCGCCGATAAATTGATGGTAAATTGGTGCAGCTGTTCCCCTCCGCGGAAGACTTATGATCAGATTCTGTATGTATACAACTTGGTGTATATCTAATGTTTGATTAATATTAATTTACAGATAGATTCCTAATGGTTCTCGAATTGGGGCTAATTCAAACATGTATCTTCTTCCTCCTTGTCAATTAAGAAAGACTTTCTGATGGTTTTAGGGGTTGACCCAGCTGAGTTCCGAGTTGACCACGGATCGGCCGTCGGGTTTCCCGCGCCCTTTGTGGGCCGGGCCTGTTAATTTTCTGGCCCATCTATCACCACATTGTTGAATTGGATAGTACCCAATACCCAAGTGTGGGAATTGGAACATTAATTGCAATTATTTTATGGGTAAATACTAAATAGCACTTAACCCCGTGTGGTTGCAAGTTTTTGCAGATGATTCCCTTGTGCTCGTTATATCAGTATATAAGTTTCTGTTAGTTTTTCCGTCAAACTTAGATGGTGTTTGCAAAAGCTTATTTAAAAGCATAAGCTAGTGATGTGAGTTAATTTGATACTAAGTGCTTAATTCTAAAAGTTGGGGGTGTTTGCAAAAAATCTGGAAAATTAACTAAAATTGAAAAAGCAGGTACACGAGTGCTTTTAAAATTAGAGCTCAAAGCAGCTTATTTTAAGAGAAGCAAAAACAAAAGTCGGTTTTGCAAACACCTACAAACAGATTATGTGAGAAAAAAAACTTATAATCTATTTTGAAAAGCTTTTGTAAACACCACCTTAACCGCGTGTGTCAAACTTCAAAGTAATTTTTTTTGCAGATGACCCCCTTGTGCTTTTATTTTTGCAGATGACTCCCTTGAAGTTTGACACACGCGGTTAACTTTGACGGAAAAAACTAACGGAAGATACCCCATAAACCAAAAGAGGGTTACATGCTAATATAACGAGCACAAGGGGTCATCTACAAAAACTTGTAAGCACAGGGGGTTAAGTGCTATTTACTCTTATTTTATTAGAATACTCGATAATTATAATCTTAACATGCATACAGCATAATCAATCTACTACTCTCTCCGTTCCCTATTAACTGTCGTTTTTGGCTTTGCACAAAGATTAAGAAGTTCAATAAATGTGTCTTGATTTTATGTAAAATATATTAGAAAGACTAAATAACCTTGATTATTTAATAATGTGATAAGAGAGAGTTAAAAATTATAGTTGAATTAATAAGGTTAAAATAAGAAAAAATGCATTTAACGCAGTATTGGAAATCTAAAGTGACAGATAATATGGAACAAAAATATTTTTAAAAAGATACAGTTATTATGGAACAGATGGAGTATATATTTGTGCAAATCAATTAAAATATGCAATATTAAGAACAAATTCTGACATCATACAACAAAACACACACATGTGAGTGTGTGCAGGAGTGTGTGGTTATAAAATAAGTAGATAGTGAGCTTACACACGATATATTTTACCTGGTGTAAGTGCTAACAAACCTTTAAGATAGTAGATCGAAAATCTTCGAGATGACAGGTTTATCGGAAATCGATGATTTTTTTTATTTTTTATTTTTGAATTTTTATTTATTGTTTGGGCTTTATTGGGCTTCAACCCATCGGATTGACTGAAAATTCTTTGAAAACTAGTACTTCACTCGTGCGTTGCACGGGTATTTATCATAAAAATAAATATTTGATTTAAAAAAAAGTTCACGAAATAGTAAGATTAATGATATGCAATACAAATTAGTAGAAAAGTAAAAGAAAATAAAAAAATATATTTTATATTGTGTAAGTAATGAATACTAGTACCAATATGAATACAAATACCAATATCATTACCGTTACAATTACCATCACCAATATCAATACTATTACCATGACCATTACCATTGCAGTTACCGTCACCAATATCAATACCATTACCATTGCCATTATTATTAGCAATACCAATCATTACCATTATCATTACTAATGCTAATATTAATATTAATATGATAATAATATTATTACTATTAGTGTTAGTAATCTTAATGTTATTGCTAATCCTAATCCTGGTACTAACTCTAATCTTAATTTTAATACTTATATGCTAATACTAATCCTAATATACTAATACTATTACTAATATTAATTCGTTCATGTTAATATTAATATACACATGCTAATATTAATACTAATACTAAGATGTTAATGTACTAATACTAATATACTAATATTATTATACTAATACTAATACTAATATACTAATATTATTATACTAATACTAATACTAATATACTAATACTAATATTAATATACTAATACCAATACTAATATACCAATACCAATACGTACCAATACCAATATCAATATCAATACCAATACAAATATCAATACCAATACCAATACCAATACCAATACCAATACCAATACCAATACCAATACCAATACCAATACCAATCAATACCAATACCAATATCGGTACAATTATCGATACCAATATATACCAATACTAATACCAATACCAATATCAATACAATTACCAATTACAATAACATTACCAATACTGATACCAATATCAATACAAATACTAATATCAATACCAATACCAATACCATTATCAATACCATTACCATTACCATTACCATTACCATTACCATTACCATTACCATTACCATTACCATTACCATTACTATTATCATTACCATTACCATTACCATTACCATGACAAGTATCGTTATCATTACTGTTACCATTGCCATTACCATCACCAATACTAATATCATAAGCATTACCATTACCATTACCATTATCATTACCATTACCATTACCAATACTAACATCAATACCAGGATCAATATCAATATTATAGGACCAATATCAATATTGATACCAATATCAATCATTATCATTACCATTACCTTTACAATTACTAATACTAATAGTAATATACTAATATTAAGACTAATCTGATAATAATACTATAACTATTAGTAATTCTAATGATAATCCTAATCATAGTACTAACATTAATCATAATTCTAACAATAATACTAATACTAACCCTAATTGTAATCATAATACTAATTTCATTCATAATTTTAATTATAATCATAATCCTAATCATAATCATAATGGTAATGCAAATCTTAATTCTAATATTAATTCTAATTATAATCATAATTCTAATAATAATACGAATCATAATTCTAATCATTATAGAAATGCAAATATGCTAATGGTAATACTAACTTTAATACTATTCCTAATATGCTAATGCTAATGCTAATGTTAATGCTAATTTTCAATAATAATTCTAATCATGATGTTAATACTAATATGCACCATAATCATAATGTTAATATTCATACTAATATGCATACTGATATTCATACTAATATTAATTGTAATATGCTAGCGGTAATGCTAATGCTAACCATAATCTTAATCAAATGCTAATACAAATATTAATATTAATAATAATACTAAACTAATACTTATATACTAATGTTAATGCCAATACTAATACTAATATTAATCCTAATATACTAATGATAATGCTAATCCTAATATACTAATTATAATCTTAATATACTAATGCTAATTATAATTCTAATTCTACAGCTACTGTTAATGGTAATGCTACTACTAATACTGATGCAACTCAAATAATGATACTAATATAATTATGACAAAAAATGAAGGGTGAATAAAAAGTAATTATATTGAAATTATTGAACAAAAAATCATTACAAATACAATAATAAACCATATACCAATTATTACCAATAATAGAATTTTCTACCCCTTTAGATTTTGGAATAATCTAAAAAACTATAAAAAAGTATAGTTGAAAACATTATTGATTTAGTTTGATGGGAGTAATTTGAATGAAGATTATGATGAGTAATTAAAATTAGGGCATAAAGCTATCCAAAATATTAGCATAGTTCTTCAGTTAAATAAAAATATGAAACGGATATAAACCATATAAATTAAATTATAATACGATAAATGCATGAAATCAATTGAAAAAAAATTACCAAAAAAAACAGCAAAAAGAGAAAATGAAAAACGAAAAACAAAAACAACTCGAATGAAATGGGTGAAGAAGAATAATGTAGAGTGAAATAAATAGATGGGGTTTATATAGTTTGGATAAGTATATAGTAATTAGGAAATTTTTGAATTCAAATTTCAAATGACATGATTATAGGTAATCATAGATGGAAAAAGAAAAAAGAAAAGGTAAGAAATCAAATCAATTGAATTCGGATGATTTGATTTCTATTGATTAGGAATTGATTTTAAAATATTAAACAATATTTATGGTTATTGAATATTCTTCTTAAACTAACTATATCAATTAAATATAATCATTCTAAATAGGTAAGAAATCAAATTTCATATCATAAAATGTAAATTTCTGATTTTAGAAAATTTTAAAATAAATAAAACATACATGTTTTTTTTTTTTGTCGTTTTTTTTTGTATTTTAATAATAAAATTATAAACTTCATAATATATTATTAACATGTTAATTTTAAATCGAATTTTAATGCATTATTTAACAATATTAATATATTTTTTTATTATTTTTTTATTGAATGGATATTCGAATATTCAAAATATTGAAAATTAGAAAGAAAAAAACCAATTGTATTCCTTTATTTTAATATTTGAATATTAAAAAAATAATTTTTTTTTTCTGAAAATTATTTCAATATTCGTAAAAAAATTGAGTGTACTGATTTTTTTTTAAAAAGACTACCAATAAATATATTTTGAAATACTAGAAATGTAGATAAGATTTTTTTATTTCGAATTTATAAAATATTAATCTTGGAAATAATATATATACACGTGGTAATGAGTGTATAAATGCTAAATAGGAAATAACTTAAATACATACCAAAATAAAATTGACAACTCACATATTAAAGAATACGCCTCATCAATTGAACTCCAACTAAGCAATTTTGATAAATGACATCATCATTTGTCACATGTCAATCATTGAGGGCATAGATCCTCTTTTTATATTATATATAGATTAACTCTGGAAATAATATATATAAATGTGGTAATTGTTTAAATGAGTGTATAAATATTAAATAGGAAATAACTTAAATACATGCCAAAATAAAATTGACAACTCATAAATTGAAGAATCCATCTCATCAATTGAACTCCAATTAAGTAATTTTGACAAATGACATCATCATTTGCCACATGTCAATCATTGAGGGCATAAATCCTCTTTTTATATTATATATAGATATATAGATAGATAGATAGATTAAAAAAAAAAAAAAAAAAAAACAATTCGGGTTGACCCGTCATCTCTATAATATATATTTCGGGTCAATTGAACTGCAGTTCGTCTTCTCAGTGGTCGAGAAATTAAAAAGAAACAATTTTTACAGACACAGTTTCATCGGCGGAAGCAAAATAAACAGCACAATTACCTAATCAAGAGGAAAAACCAGAAGAAGAAGAACTCAATTGGTGTAGAAGACGGTATATAGATTCGTTTGGGAGGAATTTATTCAAACGGCATGGTCCCGAAACAGCTAATCGTCGCCGTCGAGGGCACGGCGGCCATCGGGCCTTTCTGGCAAACAATCGTCTCCGATTACCTCGACAAAATCATACGGTACTACTCACCACACACTATTTCACCCACTAATGCGTGCGGTTGTGTTTGTATCAACGGTTGAGCGTATTTCTACTTTCACTAGAATTTTCTTAATTTGGAAAATGGGATCATTTCACATATAGTTTGAATTACTGTTTCGAATTGTGTGCCGTACGACCTCTCTTTTCTCATCGATTAGAGTGTGATTTTATGATTGATTTAATTTGATACTTATCGGCATTTTGAGTTGTTAATTCCCCCCTTAATTACATCTCGTTTGGTATAATATTATACTAAAAAAATTTTGGATTCGTTTTGATGGATTTTCTTCGTGTTTGTTATTCTAGAGAGGTAAAGAGACTAACATCAGTAGTTGTTTAAACACCGGACAATGAAATCGACAAAAAAAGTAGTTTTGTGATGGAAATATTTCAAGACTTGTTGTTGTAGAAATTGTTTTTGATTATTTGCTCCGCTGTCGATTAATTTCTTCTAAGTGAATTTACAATTTTACAATAAGCTCAGGATAATGCAATTGGTCGAAATGCGTTATTTTTCGGTATAGATTATTTACTTCTATACTTATTTATGTTCTGTATTCTGCTATTGTAACTTATCTTTTCTGTTCTGTTATATCTCTGCAGATCCTTTTGTGGAAACGAGCCGACGGGTCAGGTACAGATAAATAAAATCGATCATACTTTGGTTCTGTAATTTTTCCTTTTAATCATCAACTACAATATTTTCGTCTTAGGTGTTAGAATATTGTTGTTATTGTTTAGTTTATATATTCGACAATTTGATTTCACCTTTTTTTAACTTCGATTTTTTCAGAAGCCGGCTACTACCCATTTTGAGCTCTCCCTAGTCATGTTCAATGCTCACGGTTCTTACAGTGGTGCGTATCTTTTTAATTTTGTTTTTGTATTTTTTTCTCTCTCAGAGATTCCGGTCCTTGTAGTGCTGTTATTGTCTTTTAAGTTCACAAATACGAAAAAATCCAACACATCCAAGAAATTTAAGTACGATTTTGGTCTTTGTTCAGTTGCTTGTAATAAATCTCTGTTTGCAGGGAACAAACCTTTCATTATTACCTAAATAACACTCTCAAAGAACCTTGAATAAAGACTTTATTTTTCTGCTTTAACAAAGATTCTTCAAACTGTCGTAGTAGTTTTAGCTCGGACATTGTGTAGCTTACTTTTTCGTTTCTCTCCTCTTATTACCATTACGTCATCTATTTCAGCTTGTCTTGTGCAACGGAGTGGTTGGACAAAAGACATGGATATATTCTTTCAATGGCTTTCGGCTATCCCCTTTGCCGGTGGTGGTTTTAACGACGCTGCGATCGCCGAAGGGCTATCAGAAGCTTTAATGGTCTGTGAAAACACATGCTTTACTTTGGGTTTTTCAGACAACCTTACATTTTCAGTTTACTGTTCCCATTTCAGACAACCTTAAATTTTGGTTATTTTGTTGAAGATGCTTGTTGATTTCTGTAGTTATTATATATCAACTCATAATCGAATGATTAATTTAAGAATACTTTGTTGTATATTCCAGATGTTTTCTTCCCCAAAGGGCAACCAAAATCAAAATGTGGAAGGACAAAGACACTGCATTCTTATTGCTGCAAGCAACCCTTATCCATTACCCACACCAGTATTTCGACCACAAATCCAAAATCCAGAAAAGAACGACGGTGTTGAATCGCAACCAGATAATCGTCTGTCTGATGCAGAGACATTAGCAAAATCTTTTGCTCAGGTACTCTATATAAAAGATTGTATGTATCCCTTTTTCTTTCTTGTTTTTTTTTTCTTTCGACGTTCTCTAGTTGCTTGATAGTAGTAGGGGGATGGAAATTGGAACGGAAATTCCGAATTCCGCCGATTTCTAATTTTTCCGATTTTTGGAATGTGATTGGAATGAAATTTCCCCTTCCTAAAAAAAATTTGGAAATTTTACCAAAGTGCTAGTTTCGATTCGATCCGATCCGTCTGATTTCTACCCCTACTTGATAGTAAAAGAATATTCCTCTTTTGCAGTGTGCTGTTTCTCTATCCGTTATTTGTCCGAAGCAACTTCCAAAACTCAGAGGAATCTTTAATGCGGTACACATATCTACTTTTCGTTGTAATAATATGACCCTTTACTGAAATTTATTCAAGCTGCTGATATTTATTGTGATTGTTAGGGAAAACGCAATCCAAGAGCTCCAGATCCGCCTGTAGACAATAATAAGAATCCTCATTTCCTTGTTCTCATCTCGGAGAATTTTATGGAGGCTCGTTCTTGTTTAAGTAGGTCTGGAATTACAAGTCTGCCACCAAATCAAATCCCCGTCAAGATGGATGTCACACCTGCTCCTCCTCCCATTTCTGGGCCACCTCCAGTTTCTATCCCGGCAGGTTACTTTTGAGCATTACAAAGCGGAAGTTATATATTACTGCATGATTAATCCTATTATTATGATCATCGAGACATAAGTTTCATGCTGATTTTTTTTTTTAATTAATTTATTTTTCTGTTCAGTCAATGGATCTCTCTTGGCGCGGCAACCAGTACCTGCTGCAAACATCCCTCCTGCAATTGTAAAATTGGTAATAAAATATACATCTTCCCAATTTTGATTTATTCACTGCTGGAATAATATGTGTAATTTGACGTGCAATTCGATTCATGTTTCTTCAGGAGCCTCCCACCATTGCACCCTCCATGACGGGGCCCACATTTCCACACATCTCATCTATTCCTCGAGCCGTTCCACAAACCGTTCCAACCATGCAAACTTCTTCTCCTATATCAACTCCTCAGGAAGTTATCCCGATCAACGAGAACATTCCGGAAGTGAAACCGTTGGTTGCCAGCTCAGCACCCCCGATACGTCCAGCTGGCGGCGCCGCGGCGAATGTGAGAATTTTGAACGATATGGCTCAAGCCCGCCAAGCTCTAGCCGCAGCAGCCGCCGGAGGAGGAGGAGGAGCTTCCATTGGGATCCCTTCTATGGGCGGCGGCACCACCATGCTCTCGAATATGATATCCAGCGGAATGATGACATCATCCTCCATGTCGTCGGGCCCGTCTATCGTCACCTCAATTTCTGGGCCGTTGCCGATGTCAGCGAATGGACAGGTGGCGCAGAACAATTCTGGAAATTCTGGCATTGCCATGTCATCGCAGCCATTGAGTGGCCTACAAGGGAACGTGGGTCCCGGCCAGACGGGGAATATTCCGGTGGTCCCGCAGATGGTGCAGACGGGGATGGGTATGAATGCTAATATGATGAGTGGCGGTGGTGGTGCTTCGGGAATGTCTCAGCAGGGACAACCTCCTGGTGGTATGAATAGCAATAATGTTGTGAATACTTTGAATCAGCAAACATCGGCTACAATGCAGTCGGCGCAGTCGAAATACGTTAAAGTCTGGGAGGTAAATATCCTTATTATTTTTGTTTACTTTTTTATTTTTATTTTAATTAATTAATTTTAAAATTTAATGATGGAATGATACAGGGGAATTTATCGGGACAGAGACAAGGCCAGCCTGTTTTCATCACCAGACTGGAGGTATGTGCTTTCTGCAATAGTATATAACGAGTTTTTCGATCGTGTGGATAATTTCGTGTGACATTATTTCAAAGATTCAGCTTGAAAATAATTTTAATTCAAATACATAAATTCTTTCAATGTTATTGCACTTTGCATTCTACTATGTGGTAATAGATTTGAAAGCCTTTTTCTTATTGTTCTGTGTACTTGTGTGACAGGGGTACAGGAGTGCCTCAGCTTCCGAGACGTAAGTCGTCTTTCTGCTGTTGCTCTTTCTTTGCATTTCACATTATTCTTATTCTTATTGTTATTATTATTAATAATAATATTATTATTATTACACTGACTTGAATTTGTACTTGTTTTTAGGCTTGCTGCAAACTGGCCATCAACAATGCAAATAGTTCGCTTAATATCCCAAGATCACATGAATAACAAGTAATATCTCTTTCGAGAAACAACGAAATTAATTTTACTTCTTACGCAATTTTTCACTATTTCTAGTTATATAGATATATAAATATGCTTGTATACTAGTTTAAAATTCTCTTTCTATATATATTATGGTAGGCAATATGTCGGCAAGGCCGATTTTCTCGTTTTTCGGGCAATGAATCAGCACGGCTTTCTTGGACAGCTCCAAGAAAAGAAGCTTGTAAGTCTTGTCAATACCAACACCACTAATAACCCTTTTAAACAGTCTTTTACAACTAAAGTTAAAATTATTGGGGTCCAATTTGTACAGTGTGCAGTTATACAGTTACCGTCACAGACATTGCTCCTCTCGGTTTCAGACAAGGCCCATCGTTTGATCGGAATGCTTTTCCCCGGGGTACGAATAATAAGTCCTTGCCACATTTATTTTCTCCAGTTTCGACTAGTCCTAATTTATATTTGTTTCTTTTTTTTTCTTTTTTTTTTCTTTTTTCTTTTTTTGTATAGGATATGGTTGTATTTAAGCCACAAATACCTAATAATAATAACAATAATAATAATAATCAGCAGCAGCAGCAGCAAATGCAAGTGCAATTACAGCAGCAGCAAATGCAAGTGCAATTGCAACAGCAGCAAATACAACAACAGCAACAACCAATAATGCAGATTCAGCAGCAGCAGCAGCAGCAGCAGCAACAACAACAACAACAACAGCAACAAATGCCTCAAATGCAACAGCAACAAAATCAGCAACAAATGCAACAGCAACAAAATCAGCAACAAATGAATCAAGCTTATATGAGTCAAGGTGGTGGCCAGAGGTCTCAAATTATGTCTCAAGGAGGACAAGCTTCGTCGCAAGGACCACCTCCGACTATGCCTGGAGGACCCTTTATTAATTAATTAATTAATTAATTAAAGCTACTTTTTTTTGGCTATTTATTTATTATTACTCTATTTTTAGTGAGGGAAATTAAATATGTTTTGATGTATTATTCTCTTCTTTTATGATTGCCACCGTCTATAATTTAAATAGAATTTGAGGGGCTAAAAATGATTTGACTTGTGGATGTCAAATTTTCAACAAGCATCTTGACTAGGGGTATTTACGACTTTATGCAAAGAATTTTCGACAAGCATCTTGACTAGGGGCATTTACGACTTTATACATAGACGTGCAATTCTTTTGTAATAACTTATGAAAACATGTTTTGCCTCTTGATAAAGCTATACATGCATGTTTTTTCTTTTTTTCCTTTTTTTTGTTTGTCAAGAAATATATCAATTAGGAACCACCTAACACCTTTCTTCCCACTTCCCATTAGTAGTGGCAATAATTACTTTGCAATCGCCACTAGGGGAAATTGCAACCACGGTCTCGTAATTTAGGGAATTAGCAAATCTAGTCCAATATATTTCTAACTATAACCATAATTCCCCTTTGAATATTTTTTCATATTTAAACTTGCCTTAATATAACGGCCTTACAACCCACTCACGCACACAACGGGAAATTAGATGCTACACCTGGTTATTTACACTGAGTGAATTTGAACCGTGGATCTACTCATAATTACACACACCCATGTGTATGTGTGCTTAGTAAATAATTATTTAATCAAATCTACACAACTGGGATTGAAAGAACCTCCCACTATAAGAATAAGTGAGCATGTGCCGTTAAAACAACTGAAGAACACGGGTCTTTAGTCGAAATTCCGGGTTTAATGTATGAAATTGATAATAATCAAGCCTCTAATGCAATTTCCCTATCTAAAAAGGGCACAAAAGCTTAATAATTAGCGAATTTTAAGCCACTATTAGTGCATAATTGATCATGACGTATCTTCACTAAAAAGTTAAGTGACATATTCCCTTAGGGAATTTCCAACTTACATATAATTAATAAGGTTCGGTTGGTGAACCACATACATAACGATCAAAGCAACTACGACTCGAGTTTGTTATGTGTTACACTCGAAGAGATGCACTCGGTGGATTTCAGTGGATAACACATCATATCATATATATATTTGTGTGTGTGTTTGTATACTAAAGTGAAAAGCTACTCGTATTTCACCGGGTGTAATATTTATAATCGAAAAAGCCTCAACTCTTTTGAAATCATCTCAAATAATTTGGTGGGAAAGTCATTGTCTATATATAGACAAGAATCTATGAAGTCAACTTGCGTAGGTAGTGCATTGTGTCTAGTATATATCCACTATCCTTTAGTATCTTTTCATATCACTAATCACTATTCCCCTTAACAAATATTAACTTTAATGATGCAATCTTAATTTTTCATAGAATAACTAAAGGTGGCGAATATATTCTTCATATTTATATTTATATTTATTTATATATTCATTCCATTGAAGAATATAAATATATATATTAATAATCAGGCAACTATAAGTAGGCAGCTACCTGGTTTCATATAGTCGTTGTAGTAAAAATAAACTGTCTTATAAGTGTGTTCAATTTGTGGGGTTAGAAATAAATGGTTTCAGCAGATCCCCCACAACCCAAGGTGATTTAATTTAATTTAATTTTCTGATCTTATAATCACATTATTATTAATTAGCATGTTAATATGTTATATATATTTGGTAGAAATTAATTTAAATTTAAAAAAAAAAAAATTCTTACAGGAAGTTCCATCAGATGACAAATGGGGGGAAAACGGTCCTCATCGGGAAGCGAAGTGGTGGTACTCGACCTTTCATACCGTTACAGCTATGGTTGGTGCCGGGGTTCTCAGCTTGCCGTATGCCATGGCTTACTTAGGATGGTATGTGTGTGTATATATATATATATATATATATATATATATGCGCTCTCTCGCTCTCTGTATAACTTAGTTCAGAATCACTAACTTCTGCTCGTTACAGAAAATTTTGCAAACACCACCTAAAACATTATAGACAATGTAAAACAAGGCGCTATATATAATATTAATACTCACGTATATAACTAATTTTTGTCGACGCTCTATTTAGATCGTATAAAAAATCCAAACGTACCAATAGGCGATAAATTACTAAAATACCCCCGTAAAATCTGAAAAATATCTACGACAGGGTTCCGGGTACAATAGTGATGGCGCTATCGTGGTGCATAACCCTAAACACAATGAGACAAATGATACAGCTACACGAGTGTGTACCGGGCGTTCGGTTCGACCGATACTACGACCTAGGGCGGCACGCTTTCGGGCCGAAACTCGGGCCGTTGATTGTACTACCTCAGCAGTTCATAGTCCAGGTTGGCTGTGACATTGTGTATATGGTGACTGGAGGGAAATGCCTGAAAAAGTTCATGGAAATTGTGTGCACCAACTGTACACCTATGAGACAATCGTATTGGATTGGCATATTTGGATGCCTGCATTTCTTTCTCTCTCAGCTGCCGGATTTCAATTCTATCTCTAGGGTTTCGTTGGCTGCAGCTATCATGTCATTAAGGTGAGTTTATCACTCCTCTTAATTTATTTATTATTTAATATGATGCATTAGTTCCACTTAAATATATACTACAGTAGAACCTCGATAAATTAATAACCTCGCTTAAATAATAAATTTTCCCGGTCCCGACTCGGGGACAACGTGCTAAATTAATAATTCGCTAAATTTATAAGATAATACACATTCGAAAATTTTAAGAAGCCCCATATAATATATAAATTAATAATGCATAAAAATAATTCTTAAATTACATGGTACAATACATATTTTGTAGATCTATGAAAGTTTAATAATATATAATTTAATTGTCCCTTGTTTCTTGTTGAATTTCACATTACCATCAATCTCGTCCCTTACTCTTTTTAATATGGTTAGAACTTTCGGTATAGTTTTCTCATAACTCAACATAAAATCGTTCTATATCATCGCTGCTTTAAGAGCTTCCGCTCGTGAAACGGGCTCTATAGTGCATTGAACTAATGGTACAATGAATAATATACACGTAATTTAAAAAAAAAAACGTATTTATTGAAAATAATAATAAAATTAATTTCATAAATTAATAAGTTATTAATTAATGTATAAATTAATAATTATTAATTTATCGATAAGTTAATATTTCGCTAAATTAATGAAATTTTGATGATCCCAACTGTATTAATTTATAGAGGTTTAACTGTATTATGCGACCTAATCTTCCTAAGATTATACACAGCGTTGTGCTAAACTGCTAATATCAAATTGATTTTCCATTTTTATTTTGTTTTATTTAAAAAAAAAATATTTTTATTTTTTTTCTCTAATATTTATTTTTTTATTTGGTTATATGCATGTTATTAGTTATTAGTTATTAGTTAAAATTTTAAATTTTGTTAAAAATATTTTCTTAGCTGTAATTGATTGTACTTCAGGTGATTATTTATATGATTTTGTTGAAGAAAATTAGTTTTTGTATCTGGTAATTTTGATTTTATGTTTATGCAATTATTTGGTTTTTGAACTTTTAATATTATGAATATTAAAACTTAGAACAATATATATTTGGGTAAATTATAGCCACCCTCTGAGATAATGTCAAATTACAAAAATACCCCTCTTATTTGCATAATTACAGATACAATTACAACTAGACTCCTTGATTTGAAAATTACGCTGCAGATTCGATTAATGACTTTTTCAAAATTCTATTTTTACCCTTGATCAAATATTAAGTAAATTACACTATTCTCCCTAAAATGTGATCTAATTACATATAGACTTTCGTATATCAAAAATAAAAAATACCTCCCTTAAAATTTAATATTAGATAAAAATATTTTTTTTCTTTTAAAAAAATTATTTTTGAACTCCGTTACTATGTTTGGCGCAGCTACTCAACAATAGCCTGGGTGGGCAGCCTGAGCCACGGCAGAGCCCCGACCGTGAGCTACGCCTACAAGAAAACGAGCGGCGCCGATTACATGTTCCGCGTTTTCAATGCTTTAGGTCAAATCACCTCCGCGTACGCCGGCCACGCCGTTGTTCTCGAAATTCAGGCCACCATCCCATCCACTCCCGAGCGGCCGTCGAGAATTCCGATGTGGAAAGGCGCCGTGTGGGCCTATTTCATCAACGCCATATGCTATTTTCCGGTGGCCCTCGTTGGATACTGGGCGTTCGGACAGGACGTCGCCGACAACGTCCTGGTCGCGCTTGAGAGGCCGTCCTGGCTCATTGCCGCCGCTAATTTGATGGTTGTTGTCCACGTCATCGGAAGCTACCAGGTAATACTATATACACGAATTTTATAAAATAATAAGGATTTAAGAAATGAATGCTGGCTCGCGCCACTGGGTCGAGCTTGAATTAAATAATATCTGCAATTTACAATTGTATTTTTTAATTTATTTTATTTAATTTATACTAAAACGTAAATAGTAAATAAATTCAGTTAAACCTCTATAAATTAATACAGCCGGGACTAAGGAAATTCTATTAATTTAACAAATTATTAAATTATCGAGTTAATAATTTAATACGTTTTCACCGAGTCGGGACCGAGAAAAACTATTATTTAATCGATGTTATTAATTTATCGAGATTCTACTGTAGGTTTATGCGATGCCAGTATTTGAGGTGCTAGAAAGGACAATGATTACAAAATTTAAGGTGCCACCTGGACTTTTGCTAAGGATAATTGTTCGTTCTGCTTATGTTGGTAAGTATTTCATTAATCACTGCTGTTAATTGTGCATTTAAACACAATCAGAGTTAATTAACCATGTTAATTAAATGATAATTACAGCGTTGACTCTGTTTCTTGGCGTGACTTTCCCTTTCTTTGGTGACCTGCTTGGCTTCTTTGGTGGCTTTGGCTTTGCCACAACTTCTTACATAGTAAGCCCTTTATCATTTAAATTTGGGCAAATTACTTTCACCCCTGAAGTAAGATTAAATTACGAAACAATCCCTTCTGTTTTGGTAATTACAACCACTCTCTTAACTATGTATTGTCGGACACGTCCACCTTTACGGTGTCAAATTTAATTATTGAGTGGGGAGTTTTTTCGTAAGACAATACATAGTTGAAGGGTTCTTGTAATTACTCAAACAAAAAGAGTTTTTTCGTAATTTAATCTTATCTTAGGGGTGACCGTAATTTGCCCTTTAAATTTAGTGTGATTTATAAAAAATGTCTACTATTTTAGTAAAATAAAATGATTAAATTTAATTACTCATCAATTTTATGTGTGTTTATTTCAGCTGCCTAGTATAATGTGGCTAAGAATCAAGAAACCAGAGAGATTGAGCCTATCCTGGACTGTCAATTGGGTGAGTAAAGCTTCTCTAACAATCTTTAATTCCATTTCTAAACTCACAAATAAGAGTTTATTATATATATAAAAAAATTGCAAAAATTGAAAGGGCATATTGGTAATTTCAGGGATGCATATTTGTTGGAGTGTTTATCATGTTGGCATCAACCATCGGGGGATTGCGAAACATCATTGTCGATTCGTCTACTTACGAATTCTATTCGTGACAACGTTTGTTGTGATTTTAGACTAAGGTTTTTTTAGTGGCACTTTTGAATATGGAAGTGCACACATCATCATTGTCAAGTTTAATAAAACAAGTAATCATTTGAATTTCGACGGAATATTCGATATTCTAGTGGCACGACATGAGTGCCCGATTGTGAGGCTGCTTGTTGAACGTGCGATTTCGTTTAACGCATCATCGATTAAAATAAAATGGATTAAAATAGGAAGGTAGAAGCGTCGAAAATATGGGTGCCGAAATATCATTATCAATAATACGTGACTCATTATAGAACTGGATTCGGGTCGGGTTTAATTTGGACATAACCCAAAACAAAGTACATACAACTAAAAAATGTGCCATTCTTGATAATGGATCATGTTTAACTTGGAGCCGTTTTCAAATCGGACCCTCTAATAGGCCCATTTAATTGTTTGATTGTTGAGATAAAGTTACAATTAATTAAATAATTGAAGTTAATATAATATTTGAGTAATGAAATAATTTCTTTGGGGTCTGTCCGCAATTTAGGCAAAATATAAGCACCTAATTGACTTATTCTTGTAGTCAAAGTATCAAGAGAGAATAATTAGTTTTTAGAATTTAGATTATATATTAAGAGGAAAGATTAGCATATGGGTAGCACATAATTAAGTTGGTGGTTAGGTGAAAAGCTCTATTCAAATTGTGTGAAGTTCAACATTTTAGTCAAAAAAATGTTATCTTTTACTAACATTTAATTATTTATTATTATTTTTATTTTTAGGATATTAACTAAAATTATAGAAGAGAGAAAAGTTAGGAAAACTCTAATAGCATTTCTGGAATTATTTTTTTAGATTATCTTTTTTCTCTACTAATTTCTTAACTATAAAAAAAATTAATATTCAAACCAAATGTGTAGAATTCTTTCAACAAAAATCTCTTCTTTTTAAAAGGCTTAATTATATAACCTCACCTAATTAGTCATTACACTTCCTAATTAATATTAAATATTTTGTTCCCTTTTGAGCTCCATCAACGTGTGATTATATCATTATTAATTAATTAGTACATTTTAGTCAAATTTTAGGCACTCTTAGTGCCAAAATAATCATTACATTTTTAATTTATTACCACAATTACTAGCTAGTGTCCCACATTATGATGGCAACTCTCAACTAGATGAACACCATTATATGGTTTTGAGGGCAAATAAAACCATTATAGGATTGGATGTGATTACATATAATTCGAAATATTTGAGTCGATTTTACGGATCTCGCTTTAAATATCGAACACTATGCAATATCGGGCTTCAAACTATATCATCAAACACCAGGCTGACACTTAATTAGTAGTATATCAAGGTCAATCAAGCCTACCAAACGGGCCCAAAGGGAATACGCTAAATTAACATCTTATATGTATATGCGTTGTATCTACTCTCCTTTCTGCGTCTTTCGATCATTATATCCACAAAGAAAGAGAAAAAAAAACTATATTTTAGTTGATGTAACATTAAAATAATTCATACTAGAAAAAGTTAAATGGTAGCCAATTGAATTAAGATCACATATCACCTTTCATCAACCACTACTTATACTCAATGTGATAGGCACTAAACTCCTGCATTCTTGGTGAAGTGTTTGCTTTTGCTAGCAAAAAATAAAATAAAATGGTTTCTTCTCCTACTTCACCCCCACAACCCAAAGTAATTAAGTTCCTTTTTCTTAAAAATAAAAATATTTTTTTTTTCACTTGTTCAAGAATTATATTGATATTTGATCTCTTATATTGTGCGTGTGTATGTATAAATATTGTTGCAGGAAGTTCCATCGGACAATAAATGGGCGGAGAATGGTCCCCGTCGGGAGGCAAAGTGGTGGTACTCGACCTTCCACACCGTCACCGCCATGGTTGGTGCCGGTGTTCTTAGCTTGCCATATGCCATGGCTTACTTAGGATGGTACAACTCTCTCTCTCTCTCTCTCTCTCCTCTTTTGAGGTTGAAATTTTCATCAAATTCCTATAAGAAAATATTTAGTGTTCTTGAAAATTTTCAATTTTTCTTCAAAGGTTATAAATAAGGCCAGTGTCGGAGCCAGAATTTTATAAACGGAGCCAAACGATATTGTATTATTCGAAAAATAACAAATTTCTATATAAAATAGTAGGTATTAAATTAAAACGAAACAAATTTACAGGGGACCGGGAACTTTCGTGATGGCGCTATCATGGTGCATCACCTTGCACACCATGTGGCAGATGACTCAACTCCACGAATGCGTACCGGGTGTCCGCTTTGATCGGTACATTGACTTGGGCCGGCATGCATTCGGCCCGAAACTAGGCCCGTGGATAGTACTACCTCAGCAGCTTATTGTACAAGTTGGCTGTGACATAGTTTATATGGTTACCGGTGGGAAGTGCCTGAAGAAGTTCTTGGAAATAACATGCACCGGGTGCACCCCAATCAAGCAATCCTATTGGATCTGCATCTTCGGTGGGCTCCACTTCTTCCTCTCTCAGTTCCCCGATTTTAACTCCGTCTCCGGTGTTTCACTCGCCGCTGCAATCATGTCACTATGGTAAATAAATATCAAGATGTTTGGTTCGGAATTTTTCGATTTTTGGAAGAATGTTTTTCATTTTGAATTCTGATTTTTCCAATTTTTATTTTGGAAAGGAATTGGAATACATATTAAATATCGATTTCCGCATTTTTTAAAATAATCCCGAAAATTCCAAAAACAAATTAAAAAGTTAAACATATTATGTATTTTGTATAATAGGTGACAAAAAATTTGGAATTTTGATATTCCTTCAGTTCGAGTCCGGAAATTTATGATTTAAAAACAAGTTCTTTCATTCCAATTTCTGAAATTCGATTTCCGATTTTTTGTTTAGAACAAAATCGGTTTTCAACTTCCAAAAGAAAATTGATTTTTTTCCGGAAGTGTTACTTTTCATCATATTTGATTTGTCCAAAAGAACAAAGCTTGAACACATATTTTCGTTTGAAAAAGATAAAATAAAATATGCATGCAAAATCAAGCTCGATATCTAGGTCAAAACTTGTTTGAGTTCATCTCAGATGCTAATCAAACCAAACCCAAACACAATTTTCAAAACATTCAACTCGACTCGATTGTTTATTTACACTCCGACCTTACATGCAGCTACTCAACTATAGCATGGGTGGGCAGCCTAAGCAAGGGGCGGGCCCCTAACGTGAGCTACGCGTACAAAGAAACAAGTGGGGCCGACTCCATGTTCCGAGTGTTCAACGCTTTAGGGCAAATCACATTCGCTTACGCGGGCCACGCGGTGGCCCTTGAAATTCAGGCCACCATTCCGTCCACACCGGAGAAGCCATCTAGGGTTCCGATGTGGAAAGGGGCGGTCTTGGCCTATTTCATCAACGGAATATGCTATTTTCCGGTGGCTTTGATCGGATACTGGGCGTTCGGACAAGACGTAGACGATAATGTTCTTGTTGCTCTTGAGAGGCCCGCGTGGCTTATTGCCGCCGCTAATCTCATGGTCGTCGTTCATGTTATTGGAAGCTATCAGGTAATTATTATTATTATTATTATTAATTACTATTAGTATAATAGAATATGCTAATTATTTAATAAGAATGAAAAAATCGAAAAAATAGAAATTAAGAGAGGTTGATTTGGTTTTTGCATGCAGGTTTATGCAATGCCGGTGTTTGAGTTGATCGAGAGGAGCGTGGTGAAACGATTGAGCATCTCGCGTGGAGTTGTGCTTCGGCTTATTGTTCGTTCTGCTTATGTTGGTAATAATTCTTTTTTTTTTTTTTTGAAATTAAATGAAAGAATAAACAGTGTAAGAAGTTATAATTATTATTTTTTTATTTTTTTGACTGATAAAAAGACTAAATATTTGCAGCGTTCACCTTATTTGTTGGAGTGACCTTCCCTTTCTTTGGTGATCTACTTGGTTTCTTTGGTGGATTTGGCTTTGCTCCAACTTCTTACTTTGTGAGATTTTAAAAAACACTAATTTTTTTTATATATTAATATTTATTTACTATTTATATATTTGCTGAGTTATTTTTATTTGTATTCGTACATGGAATATGAGCAGCTACCAAGCATAATATGGCTGAAAATTATGAAACCGGAGCGATTCAGCCGCTCGTGGATTATAAACTGGGTAAGTAAATATTTTACCATACTTTTTTTTTTTAATGAATGAAATTAGTAAAAATATTGTGTTGTTATAAGTGAAAAATGTTGTGAATTTCAGGCATGTATAATTATCGGAATGTTCATCATGGTAGCATCGACCATCGGAGGGTTGCGAAATATTGTTAAGGATTCTTCGACTTATGATTTTTACTCATAAAATGTGGTGGTTTTTTTCGATGATTGTATGGCAAAGTGTATTTTTATTTTGTGCGAATGTTAACTATGATTTGGATATTGAAAAATCGAACGAAGAAAAATCGTTTGAATTATTTCGACTGCTGTCAATTTCTAATTCAGTAATCGTTTCTAGTTGATTGAATTAGGTAACCACATGAGAATTGACGTGCACTAGACACTGAGGAAAATTAGCTGTTACTTATAAGTAGAAATTGCTCTTTAAAATTGACCCTACCAACCCAGATTTTATACAAAGGAATTCATCTAATCACAACCAGATTTGCTTTAAGAACAGCAAATTCCCATCATTCAATTTACTTTCCAAAAGATCAAAGTCTCGTGCGCGGTCCGCTTCAATAAAAAAAAAAGGAAAAAAAAAAAAGAAAAGCGAAAGCAAAAGAAAGTGATCTTTTAAGAATGCTAACTAAGGATTAATTGATGTCTAAATACCCACTAATTATTGAATTTCAAGGCATCAAACGACGACACCTACTACTACCACTATCAGTACCAGTTGAGAATCTCGAGACAGCTCCAAATAAATATCGATGAAGATCAACTAGTATTACGATTTACGACCATAACTTCATTGATGCATAAGAAACGGGCTTCAAAAAGAGAGTGGAAATCCTATTTCTCTTGCACTAATGTACTGAGATGTGACCGAAATCATGACAGTTCAATTAGCCATCCCACACATGATAGACAAATCTCGAAAATATCTTACCTAATTCTCCAATCAACACAACATTTACGTATTAATTCTACTTTTTTACGATTAAGCTAACCAGAGCTTAGTCAATGTTCTCGTTTGCCATCTGAACACTATGCGGAACTTAGTGCACAAAAAAGTAGACAAATGAAGAAAAATGTGATAGTCTCCAATTTTGTTGTGATTGGGCTAGCTTTACAATTGATTTTGTAAATTACAGGTACTGTGGCTATCGGTTTTCTTCTGCGTAGTTTAATATTCGTATATCATATCCTGAATTTGCTAATGGATAAAATATCCTACAAAGTTAAAAGTTCTACTTTTCATCATAACGAGTTTTTCTCCGTTTTCTGCATGTGAACAACGAAAGCAAGAAAAGTTTCAGTACAGCAGTTTCAGCAGGCAGGCGATTACGGCAGCATAGTATTGGAAAATTACTTTAAAAAAAAAAAGCAATTTAGACTGACCTTTGATAATTTTGGAGCCTTTTACGACTCGACTGTTGACAGAAATGATTGAATTCCAAAAATAATGAAAAGAACTCCTCCGGAGAGCGCAACCTATATAAATCATATAGAATTTTATAAAATAAAAAGTAAAAAATAAAATCCTCTTTTTCCCCTTAATAAAAGTACAAGTCCGGAAACTTACTATTTTCTCAGATATTTGAGTTGCAAGACTCTTTCCTCCGAGGACGGCCGCTGTAGTACATAAAGCTTGTCCACTGATACAAGGTAAACAGAACCGAACATGATTACGAAAGGAATTTAGATATTTATTTTGGCTGTGAATTACATGAAGCTAGTATGGACTTACAGAATTCCACCAAGAACAACACCAAGGGGATTTTCATCGGCAGCCAAACCAATTGTGGCAAGCTGGAAAAAAGATTATGACTATTGTTAAAGGGGACTGAAGTGGAATTTATCATGGCAGAGAGTGAACATACATACAACTTTATTAATACGAACGGACCTGACTTTTGTCGCCCCATTCTCCAAAGAAAGTAATGGAGAAGGCCTGCAGAAAGAGAAGAGCATTTTACTCGGTCTAAATAAAAAAGGCTTATATAAAGTTTTGTTGGGAGAATTTATTAGACCTTGAGCAAGATCGGGGAAAAGAATTGGGTGAGAAAGGGTCTTCTTTGCTTTTTCAGATCGTCTGCATCCTAGAAGAGCATAGCACAGGGAAAAAATTCATTCTGGTGAAATTATGGTTAATTGTAAAGAGAGAGAATGCATTATGTGCTTATGTCTCAGAGCAGATAAATTTATGTAAGGATATTTATCTGACATGTTATATCATTAATTCATTAGACAACTTTAATGAAATAAAACTGTAATCATGATTCTATTTGCCCGGTAAAAATGTCTCTATATAGCAATTAATATGGACCAAGAGGGTATCACGAAAGAACAGTACAAAATGCCTTACCTTATCATTCTCTTTTGATTCCCCACCGTGACCTTTCATACCAGCATTCTAGGCACATCAAACGAGTAAAATCTGTGAAAATTCAGAGTCGTTTCAAGTAAAGTTTATCACAAAAGAAACTAACCAGTTCTTTTTCAACTTCAGCCAAATCTTCAGCCTCCCTGTTTCCGGAGTGCACAAATAAACAATATTAAGTTGACTAAGAAGATGTCGAGAGAATGATACTTCGGTCGAAGAGAAGGGCGTAAATCAAGAAGAGAAGGTAATAGTACAGTACCCTTCCTTAAATGCATCCCATATAGACCACAGGCCAAACACGAGGAATAATACTGTTGTTACATGATGAGTCCACTTACGCGGGATCTGCAAAGAATATAAATCCAATTTTGTAACAACCCTGTTTGTGATGCTCAATTGGGCTGAACCTGAAACGGCTTGAAAAGCATGCATGCAGCATAACAATTTTGAGCATGTTATTGCGTTTTAAAGAAAAGAAAAAATGCAATTGTCGCAGTGAAAACCAAAGGTACGAGGTTAAGGAAAAGTAACACGCCAAATACTATGGTTCATATTTTCTAATGATTAGTACAAAACTGGATAAAGAGTACTATAGCAGTGTCACTTTTGGAAGTCCGAAATCAATTCAGTGTGCTGTATTACCAACTGAAGCAACATAAGTAGAAAGGGTTTAATAGAAATCGCTTACCAGATTTGGAGCCGCCCAGCCAACAACAGCTGATAAGATAGTCATAACCTTGAAAATTGCAAATTATCTGAGAACCTTGATGCATAAAGAAAACCAAACACGACTAAGTAGAAGAGGAATGTATCTTACAATCAAAGCTCCGAGGCAACCTGTCAAAACAAGTCTTCGGGGATAACGCATTGCCAAAATCTGAAACGAACACCAACGTCAGAACAACAACACTAATGATTAACCATTGAAGAGCTTAATCAAGTGCTATATGAGAAACACACACACACACACACACACACACACACACACAACAACAACAACAACAACAACAACAACAACAACAACAACCAAAAAAAAATTAACAATAATAATAAATCACTTTGGTTCAGGATCCATAATCCTACAATCGCAATTCTCCACCAACAACATTGATTCCAGCTGCCAATGTATTTTGTAACATGCAAATTAACTACTAAAATCACTTTCAAATTAAATAAAATTAACGAGTGTAATTATCAACTACTACTATTACAGTAGACAATTCAGAGCAGCTCAGAGCACCCCCACCGGAAATTCAACCAACAATTATTTCCAATTAAGCAACGTAGAAATACAATTGTGGAATCAAAAGACAATAAAACAGGCTGGATTATTTATTTTTTTTACTGAAAAAAAAAACATATGTAAAATTACATACACACATAGATTTATATATCTTACAGCAGCTGCGAAAAAAGTCTTGTCGCCGATCTCCGATAACACCGTCATCGCCAACGACTTGGTGAATCCCTATCACATTGACAAAAAATACTCAGATTAACGATTTAAAAAAAAAAAAAAAAAGCTTAAAATTCAGATACAGCGATTATACAGAGAGAGAAGTGCATTACTTGCACAACAGAGAGATCCATGAATTATTTTCCTGTAATTTCTGCAAAGAAACTAGAACGGATGAATCAAAGGAGAAGGAGGTAGGCCTAGATTTTGGGAGAAATGAGAAATCAATGAGCGCCGATGGAGGTGCGTGCTGCACTGTGTGAATACACTGTTAAATGAAAAATCAGAGTAAATATATTAAAATAATATCATTATTTTTTGCTTAGTTAATATCAGATAATAAATAAAATTAAATTATAATATTTGGTTAAGCTTATAAGCTACTAATAATATTTTATAAGATATTTAAGAACTTATGAGATTTTAAAAGGTGTTTGGTAAAAAAAATTCTGAAAGATTTTAATTTTGTTTTAAAGAATAAGCTATTAAAGAGCTTATAATCTACACTCCACATTTTTTTTATATTTAAGATATTATTTACGTATTTACTAAAACACTCAAAATACAAAATTATTCAAATGTTTTATTATATTACATAAATTAAATTCTAGCACATATATTTTCAAAAAAAAAAATCAAGGAAAGATGACAGAACAATTGCACATCTTTCTTTATTTTATTTTATTTTTATTTTTGCACCTCAAAAAAAAAAACATTGCATTTTTTTTGTGACAGCAAATTTATTATTTGTTAACAAAGTCAAACGAGATAAGACAGAAGACAATAGTATAGTACGTCACAAACAGATGCCAAAAAACTTATTAGCTAGGGACAGGTTATATAGGCAAAGATTCTTATTATTAATCAACAAATTAAAAGGACAAACTTTCAAATCTAATCACCCCATCAAGAAAGTAATGGTTAATAATATCTAAACCTGCAATCATAGAGTCAACTACAATTGTATGCGTCCAGCAAGAGATGGTCTAGTGGTTGGAGCAAGTGTGTATGTGTTAATTGATCAAAGTTCGAATTCCCTGATCGACGGTCGCTATATCGAGCTTGTCAACATGGTTAGCCCAGTGTAATTTACGTCTTTCGTATGGTTTGCAAACTATTATACAAGAGTCGAGAGTGTAGATTTACCCGATGTTATTTTAAATACTAAATTTTATGTCAAAGTGTAGTTTAATTATTTAAAAAATAATATCAGATATGATATAACACTGTTATTTGTTAAGAAAATTGAGAGTTGACTAGGCCTGAAACAGTCTCTTATGGGCCCAGTGTAATTAATATGGGCCACTTAGAAATCTAGAATATAGATTGGGCCTTTAATTATCAAGTAATTGATTTTGGGCCCTTTTATATATGTTCTTGTGCTGCTTTATCTTATTTTTTATTACTCATAAAAATACATTTAAATAGTCAAAACAAGAATACAGAAAAATGTGAAAAATACAGTTTCCGTCCCTCAAGTTCACATTAATTTCATATTTAGTTCTTCATGTTTCAGAAATTCAACATTTTTTGTCAATTTCGTCAATTTTCCGTTAGTACTGACAGAATCAAGCGTGTGACCATCACTGTCTTAACTGACAGACCAACGACAAATTGACAGAATGACCGAAAGTGTTAAATTATTGAAACACGAGGAACTAAATCTATTTTTTTATGAATATAAGTGATCAAATGTGAAATCAGTGCAAACTTAATGGATGAAAACCGTAATTTTCCCGAGAAAAAAATGTTCCTAATATTCAAACTGATCTGTTGGGAAACTCGTATTACATGCTCAAATCTAAATCTAATTAACCCTCTCATAGGGCTTCAAAAGTCAAAACCTTCATTTATTATCCACCATGGCAGCAGAATAATTAATGGATGAGATAAGTGATTAGGTTTATTCTTGACTAAAGTTATGCTCAAACACTGACAAAAGGCTAAACTTACTTTCATAATTCTTAAACTAAACTTAACTTTCACAGTTTCCACCTTTCGGAGCTGGGAGTTTAAGTCCGGAGAGGCCGAACGCATTAAAAAAATTATGAGACGACCGCCCTGGCCATATGCGGGCCCGCCACTGGACTTTCCACGAAAAAAGAAATTTAAAATCTGTTTGTTAGTTATTTAAAAAAATGCATTACCAAGTACCAACTACGATTTGCAGATCCAGCATATGTAATCAACTTTGACATTGTTCAAATGTTTGGACTTTGAATTCCAATATATATATATATATAAACAATAATGATATTGTATTTTTTAATAAATATTTTTTGGGGCTAGTAGGCGGGGGATCCAATCAAAGAAGCCCAAAACGACGTCGTTTGACGTATACATGCAGAGTAATGGCAATAAAATAGACAACGATGAAACTTGCACGTTTGAGAAAATACTAAAACAAATAATAATGGGAAGATAATCTTAAACTTGGATAACAGATGTGAAAGTGAAAGTCATAATGCCACCCCCGCAACAAGCTACAAGCACGTGCCTGCTACGCGCCACCATATTTTATTAAGGATATATAATAATTACATAGATAATCAAGAATTACTCTAGAAATTAAAAACTCAACCGTGACGGATATTATGGGTTTTTTTTTCTCTCTTAAATAAGTTGTTTTAAGTTATAAACACAAAATACGATCTAATACTTCAATGAACATGTATAACTAATTGAAAGAGGACAATTGTGCCCTTGTTTCGTTTTTAATCTAAATGCACTTTTTTATGACATAGAGTTTACGAAAGTAATATTGTGAAAATTAAAAAAATAACTGACTGTTTAAAATTACGTTTTTAAGATATTTATAAACATCTCCACCATTTTTTATAAACAACAAATTATCCAACATTACTCAAAATGAACAAGGTATACTTGAAAAATATTACATGCTACACCTAATTATTTATATCAGGTGGATTTCAACCGTAGGTCTGATTTAAATAAGCATCTATTGAGCACAAATACGCATGCGTGTGTTTGATTATGTATAAATGTACTATTAATATCTATCCAGTGCAAATAACCAGGTATACTTTGACCAAAATGAATTGCAAACATGAACTTATAATAAAACTAGATAAAATCTAAATTAAAATGGTTAAAATAATTAACATAATTGAGTTGCAAAGAAAGACAAAATCATATTGAAACTCAAGAGCGCGTGGGATTAACTCGTGACGACAACCATAATTGAACCTCACAACAAAAGGGTGGCAACTACCTGGCAAAACCTGGTGCCTCTCTCTATCTTCATTTTAATATATTTATTTATTTTTAGTATTTATTAATTTATTTCTCCCCCATTTTTAAAATCATAGCCGTTTCCTTTTCACTCAGCAGTTCGTTCCCCCATAATTTCCTTAAATTAAAAATTAAAAATTAAAAATTAAAAATTGTTCCTTTGCAATTCGCTAAGTGTACTACTATTGCTGTCAATTTTCAAAACCCTAGCAAAAATCAATTGTTGGTTATGTTCGCTACCGGACAAAGTTCCGATCCATCATCGTATAGGCCAGTTGTTTCCGAGTTTCTTGTAGCGGTGGCGTGATGAACGATTCCCAGTCTTCTCCGTCGTCCTCTTCTTCCTCCTATGACTCCGCCGTCGGACCGCCGCAAGCGGTGAGGAAAAATGTTAACTTTTGTGCACATGAGTTGGTTTTTTTTTTTTTTTTCTGGATTGGGCAGTTTTTTTTTTTTTTGGTGTTGGTTTGTTGAATTTCGTTGTCATCGTGTGTGTTTGTGATGCTTAGATACTTTTCTGTTGTTGAAATTAAGGTATTGTGTTTTCTGTTGATAACCTTGTTTGCTGTTTGTTTAACTATAGGATAAAATAATCAAATTGATAAGAATCTTTAATATTCTGTTCCGATTTGCTCTGCTTCGCTGGTTATCGTATGCATTCTACTTTCTGAAGTTCTTAAGTTCATTTCCATCTAGACATATCGTGTTTCCTAAAACGAGGCTTGGCGAAATTTTCGTTGAATTTTATGGTTTGACTTAACGACAATTGTAAGTGTTATATCTAAAACGTTTAGACTTCGTCTCCGATATCTTGATTTTTTTTTTTTTACCTGCGTAATAAATACCTGGAAAAGACTCGAATGTGAATTGAATTCATATGCAAACTTCAATTTTTATTTATGCAGAATGCCGTGGGGAGTAGTTCTTCTTCTCAAGGAATCTCTCCAACGGTATCTCGTTCATGGCGGGACGTGTTCTGGCTGCTGATATTTATGGCGCATTTAATTGTGGTCGGTTTTGCCCTTGGTGTTTTTGGGCTCAATAGGTTTAAGCAACCAGATAGGCTAAACATTGATAAGTACACAATGGGGTTTCTCGAGAATAAAGACGGTTTGACTGAAGACTACTGGTCGCTGTACGCTGTTGCTGGCGGAGTCGGGGCGTTTTTGGGATGGACATGGTTGTTACTGCTCGGTTCACGAGCGAATCAAATGATGAAATTTTCCGTGCACCTCTTGACTACTTATCTTGCTGTTGTCAGTGTTCTGTGTTTTTGGGTGCATCAGTATTTCTGGGGCGGTGCTTTTGCTATCGGTTCCGCTTTGCAGTTCTTGTATGTTATTTCGGTTATCGACAGGTAAAACATTGTTCGGTTTAATGTATGAACTATGTGCTTTATTTTGAATTAGCATCGTTCTGCTTGTTGAAATTTCCCGACTCGTGTTTGGATGCTATGTTTCTACTGCTCTCTTTATAAACTAGCTTATAAAAATTTCATCTTTATTTTCAACAGACGCAAAGGTTTATATTTCATAACCATTTAAGCACTCTGGCGGTATTTTAACGTTTATTTTTTCCTACAGTGAGAAAGTTATCTGCAAGAGAGATAAAAAAAAGAGAGAGATCTTTGTACACACGGTTTCAGTTATTTCCGATTTTTGGCTTCCACAGGCTTCCATTTACAATGCTGGTGCTACAAAGAGCAGTGAAGATGGTATGGAACCTTCCGGAAGTCACTAGAGTAGCGTGCATTTCGATGCTAGTAATGCTTTTATGGCTATCCCTCTGGTCTTTCGGTGCAGCTGGGGTCGTTGCTTTAGGTATCGGTGACGGTGGCCGATGGTGGCTTCTTTTGGTGAGCTGGCAAGTTTTTGCTCTATACATATATACACACACACATATATACACATACATATCGTCTTTTCTCCAGGGCTGCACTAAATCATACAAGAACACTTGCATTTGACAGGTGTTGTCTGTGAGTTTGTTTTGGACCGGTGCAGTACTATGTAACATTGTGCATGTTGTGGTTTCGGGTATGGTTTTTCTTGTCCTTATTCATGGCGGTAGAGAATCAAATTCGATGCCTCCAAAACCAGTGATGAGGTCTTTGCAATATGCTGTTACGACTTCTTTTGGTAGTATATGTTACGGATCGCTCTTTACAGCTGCTATACGAACACTTCGGTGGGAGGTGAGTCAGCTAAGATGATTTTTTTTTCCGAGGATTTTTGTCTTGTGATATGGTGTTCTTCGGTGAATAAATACATTAGAATTGCGCGTATTTTCGATTTTACAGATTAGGGGATTGAGGTCAAAGATTGGCAGCAATGAGTGTCTTCTCTGCTGTGTTGATTTTTTGTTTCATTTGGTCGAGTTTTTGGTTCGCTGGTTTAACAAGTATGCTTATGTCCAGGTATTTCTTCTACCTTAGGGTCGAAATTGGAACGGAGTTTCCAAATTCCACCAATTTTGATCGGAGTATTTTCGAATTTCGAAATTCCAATTTCCATTTTTTTTTTCTGATTTTTTTCCGATTTTAATTTCCGAAAATTCTGATTTTATTTTTCTGAAAATAGCACACTTATAATATCAATATTATTATGTATTTTATATTATAGGTAACTAAAATGTGCTTGTAAAAAAAACTAAAAATTTGGAAATTCCAAATCCCACCAATTCCGATCCGAAAATTTCCGATTTTGGATAATGTTTTTTTTTTCTTTTCCAATTTTACCCGTTTCCGATTTCACCATTTTTGTTTTTGGAATGGAACTAGTTTTTCACTTCCGAAATCTTTGTTGGGTTTTTTCCAGAAGTACTACTAATTCGAATCCGATATGTCCAATTTATACCTTTTAGTAAAAAACACAATATATTAAATTCCATAGATGCAAAATCAAATATGGATTCTTGATTCTAACCTCTCTTTTTTTTTTTTCCTTTTTTTTTTGTCGATTCCAAAAAGGTGATTGAATGTGATATTACGGTTTACTGACTACTGATACATAAAAGTATATTTCTTTTTAAAATCAAGATTGCTGTGTACGGAAAAAGCTTTAACCATTCAGCGAAAGACGCATGGGAGTTGTTCCAATCAACAGGTGTCGAATCGCTTATAGCCTACGACTGCTCAGGCGCCGTTTTATTCATGTCCACTCTATTGGGCGGCCTTGTTTCCGGAACCTGTGCAGCAGTTTGGACAAAGATAAAACATCCGGAACGCGTACTAATGGTGGGCTCCACCGCAATGTTGATGGGCATGATCTTGGTAATAATAAATAAAATCATGTAATACATAATCTCAATAAGAACAACACTAGTTCTTACAGTTCATATAATTTGCTCATCGATATTCTTTTTATTTTAAATACAGGTTGGACTAGCAATGGTTGTAGTGGAAAGTGCAGTGACATCTATATATATATGTTACGCCGAAGATCCTGCTTTAATAAATCGGTGGGATGCTGCGTTTTTCGCACAGATATCGGAAAAACTTCACCAACGCTTACAGCACAGAAGCGCTCGGGCGAGAGAAGTATTAAGCCATAGAATAGATGATCAGGTACAAGCAGCAGTTCTTGCTTAGATATATATATATATATATATATCAACTTCGTTTTGTTATGTTTTAGCTTATATAATGAAAACATAGTTTATAGCTTCATACATTGTTGGTCATGCATTTAATTAAACAAGGACCACAAAATATTGGAACGGATTTCTAGTGGATCCCGAATTTGAATACTCAACAACCAAAAAAAATAAAAAATTACTTTTTTATTTCATTACTGGTATGTTTTATAAATAAATAAAGCTTAAAATTGAATGTGTAGGAATAGTTTATAATTTAATAAATTCGTCCAAAAGAAACATAAATGTTTGTATTTATTAATGAGACGACACATGGGCTTGGTTCACAGTTTGCAGGGGGCATTGAAATTTGAACCTTGTCTCAGTGTTAGGAACCTGCCACGTCAGAGAAACACAAAGTAATTAATTTGACATTTAATTCCCTCTCCTAACGAAATTAAATTTTATTCCTACTTTTTTTTTTTTTTACCTGCAGACTCTTCATCATCTATTTATCCTCCTACTACAATGACACTCATCACATCTCCCGCCAAAATAGTTTTTATTTATTTTCATTAAGTTAGTGAAACTCCGAGCTTATATATAATCTCAAATAAAAAAAATAAGATAAATGACAACGATCTAAATATGCGCCGGTCGGAATTAGTATGACGAGATTGATATGGACTATGGACTATCTCGTCCAAATGAATACGAGAAATTGCACATAAAGTCTAATAAGGATAGCTCAAAGCTAGAAGTCCAGTTCTGCTAAAAGGGCATATGAAACCCTCGCAAGGTGAAAAATATATTTACTCTTAAATCGCACACACGACGACGTGAGGTAAAGGTCATTATAAAGTGCTATGGTATCGTATTACCTCGGATCGGGGTTTTAGGCGAGCTGAGCTTTGTTTAACTTAAAAAAAAGTTCATTAAATTCAACATGCCCAAATGAAAGAAAAAAAAAAAAGAATTATGTTAGAGAAACCCTAATGAAGCTTGCATCTAATGTTTTCTTACTAAAATACGTAATGCATGATCGATCTTTCTGGTGTTGCACGAACGACCACCGACTAAGAGTCGAGTGAAGTTGAAGAGAGACGCAAAAGATGATCAAGCTGCTGACATCACGCTCGCGTCATCAAACCAAAAAAGTGGGCACCAATCGTATATCATTAATCGATTAATCATGAATAAAGAAACCCAAAAAAAAAAAAGAAAAAAAAAGGGAAATTAAATTAAATGTTGATGTTAAACCATGTACTGTTGGTATGTACAGAGACATCAACGGTACAAATGCTATTAATACACGTACAATACATAAAAGAAAAAATGGCAAATGGCAAATGGCAAAAAGGCCCATCACATGGGACTTAAATGCATTTTGGTCCACAAAAAAAACAGTCTCTCAATTAAGCCCATTCCCATGTCTTTAGTCTAAAATACCCTCAATAATATAATTCTTATCAATTCCACCCATTATACTCTAACTTTCTTAATATTACACATTGACCTCGAATTTAAACAAATATATCACATTAACCCCCAAAACTTTTTTTTTCAGAACATAATTTTTTTTCTGAAATGTTTTTTTTCCGGCCAGATTCCGGCGCTGACCGCCTGAGACCGCCGGTCTCCGGCGTTGACTTTTTTTTTTTTTTTTTTTTCCTGAATTTTTTTTCCGGCCGGTCAACCACCGTTGACCGCCGGTCTCCAGCGTTGACTTTTTTTTTTTTTTTTTGAATTGTTTTTCTTAGAAAAAAAATATTTTAATTAATATTACTGTCTTGGCTACTAAATTACTATCTCAGACAATAATATTACTGTTTTGGACAGTAATATTATGAATATTATTTTTTCGAACAATAATATTATTGTCTAAGACAGTTAAATTACTGTTGGAGACAGTAATTTAACATCCAAGGCAGTAATATTAATTAAAATAAATTTTTTTAAGGGAAAAAAAAAAAGTCAATTAACAGTTAAATTACTGTCTCCGACAGTTAAATAACTGCCGGAGACAGTAATTTAGCAACGAATACAGTAATATTAATTAAAATTTTTTTTTTTAAGAATAAAAAAGTCAATTAACAGTTAAATTACTGTCTCCGACAGTTAAATAACTGCTGGAGACAGTAATTTAACAACGAATACAGTAATATTAATTAAAATATTTTTGAAGAAAAAAAAAACAAAAGAGTCAATTAACAGTTAAATTACTGTCTCCGACAGTTAAATAACTGCTGGAGACAGTAATTTAGCAGCCAAGACAGTAATATTAATTAAAATATATTTTTTTAAGAAAAAACAAAATTATAAAAAAAAAAAAAAAAGTCAACGCCGGTCAACGGCGGCGACCGGTGGTGGCGGGTCAAAATTTGGGTCAAAATTGAAATTATGGTTAAAATTGGTTAATTGATGAAATTTGGCTAAATTGGGGTGTAAATCATGAAATTGGAGTTAAATTGAGTTTCAATGAATTGGGGGTAATTTTGGTATATATAAAAGGATTTTCCTTATTTGCAAATAAGTTTGAATGAACTGGATTTATTTGAAAGACAAAAAAGTTGGATGTGTCATCAGCTTATTTGGCATTACCCCAAGAAAATAAGAGGACAAAATCAGAGGTTGACTTTGACTTGACACCCGGCAGATATGTCAGTCACTGTGTCATATTTAATAACAATAAGTAAAAATATTTGGATTAATTATTATTATTTATTATTGTTTTTACCTTGTGATGAGATGATGAGATCGAGTTATTACTGCAGGGCATCAGAAAAATTATTACTGTGGAATAAATAATTAATAAGATACCTGCATTTCTAGCAGTACGTTATAGTAGTAGCCAGAAACAAGACCTTTTTTCTGATTGGCTAGCGCTTCTGCTCATCAAAAAGATCGAATTATTACTCTTATTATTGTATATGGTCAATTTACGAAAAAGTCCATTTTGTTTGGATAATTACATTTACTCCCCTCAACTATGATTTTTTCTACATCTCCACCCTTATGGTGTCAAATTCAACATAATCATTTATATTTCGTGGAATGAGCTCTAGTTTGAACTCGTTTTGTGTAAAAATACAGTTTCTGATGTACCACAATTTAATATATATACAAGCCAAAAAACACATATTATGATCATCTTGCTTCAAAATGTGGAGTTCGGATGGGATAAAATGAGTATAAAAGTGATAATATTCCATATGATCAAGAAGATTTCACTAAATTTGAAACCGCAAGGGTGGACGTGTAAGAAGATTTATAATTGAGGGGTGGTTGTAATTACCCAAAAAAGAGGGGTTGTTTGTAATTTAACCATACATCAGGGATGGTTGTAATTTACCCTATTATTATTAATTATTACAGTTTCTGAATCCACTTTCTGTTATTCTTATTTCTTCTTGTTTTGTTTCGGTTTCACCGCATTCTCAAACTTGTACGTGTCGCGCGCACACACATAGAGAGAGAGAGAGAGAGAGAGAGAGAGAGAGAGAGAGAGAGAGAGAGAGAGATGCAGAGTTTGAACAAGGCAGCTGTTTCTGAACATATTTCTCTTACAAACTCTGATGTTTATTCCAAGGCACACTTTTACCTCCTCAGGTGATGAACAACGCTAATTAATAAATTTCATTTACCTTTTGCATTTTTCTCTTCTGTTTTGTACGTCTTTCTTGCTTCAGTGCATGTGTGTGTGTGTGTGTGTGTGTATATAAAAGTGTGTGTGTGTGTGTGTGCAGAGGTGATGGAAGTGGGGCTGATCATGTTGCCGATTTTGAAGAGATTCAACACTCAGCTGGAAATGGATTTCATCATCATCATCATCATCTAGATACTACTCATTTATGCACAAGTAAGATTCTCTCTCTAGATCTCTCTCTCTCTCTCTAACAACTAGTAATTAATTATTAATGGTAAATAAAATTATGATTGTAGGCTCAACTTACAATAATGGGATGATATTCAAGGCGAACAATAATAATAATAATAATAATAATAATATTGTTCCAGCTGCGTCTGCTAACAACTTGCCTTTTGGCGGACTCACCAACGTAAGTTATTATCATTTCTTAAAATTGATATACACACACACACACAAATATATACATATATGATACATGTACATGATCAATTAATTTATTATGCTAAAACCAACATAATAATAATAATAGATAATAATAATGGTTCAAATTAATTAATACAGATTTTGGGTTCAACTGAGATAGCTTCATCAAGTGTAGTGCTCTGTGACAACTTCGGAGACTCTGATTTAGTGCCACGTCATAGTAATAATAAACACACAGATACCCATGTAAGTAATCTCATGTATCTATGTATGTATATATGTATGTATTTATTTAAATACAGTAAAATGCATGAAGAGGTTTTAGCAGATTTTAATGTTGTTTGTTTCTACTTATGTTCAGTCCCCTGGATTCATTAATAAAAGACTGGAAGCTGTAGATTCTATGGTGAAAATTGGAGAGCAAAAGGTTTCTTTCTTAGTTTCATTTTACCCTGTTTTAATTTAATTTAATTCTTCTTCCAATTTAATTGATGAATTAATAACAAATTTAATTTACTTATTACCGTTTATTTCTCGTTTCCGATTTTCAGGCACATTGCAGGCTGGCTCAGAATCGAGAAGCTGCGAAGAAGTGCCGAATGAGGAAAAAGGTGTTAAACCCCATGAAATCGGAATTTTACTGTTTGTTTTAATTAGTCATAATCTAATTGAATAATGTATTGTTTTTTCCGTCTTCGATTTTCGATAATAGGCGTATGTTCAGCAGCTAGAGAGCAACCGGCAAAGGCTAACACAACTAGAGCACGAACTCGAAGTAACGCGGCAGCAGGTTATAATTAATTTATTCTCAATCGAAATGTATCGTCACATTTATAATCTAGAAAACGAAATTAATTTTTTTTTTCAAAATAATCGCTTAAAGTGACTAAAAATGCAGGGCATCTTCGCTCCGTCTGGATTTTCGCGAGATCATATTCGTCAGTATACATGTGGAAATAACGGTGAGTGTTTGTTTATTAAAATAAATCAAATTAAATTCTAGTTCCGGAAACTTCTAATTTACGATCTTCGATTTTTATGTAGGGTCCGCGGCATTCAATGTTGATTATGAACACTGGCTAGAAGAACATCAATGTCTAATTAACGATCTAAGATCGTCCGTAAATTCTCAGTCGGGAGATAACGAACTGCGTCTCGTTCTTGGAAGGGTAATGTCACATTACGAAGAAATATTTCAACTTAAGGGCACATTTGCAAAATCGAACATATTTCATATACTCTCCGGTATGTGGAAAACCCCGGCCGAAAGATTTCTCTTGTGGCTAGGCGGATTTCGCTCGTCCGATTTTCTCAAGGTTAGTACGATTACGATACGATGATATATACGATCCATTATTTATTTTTTTAATCAATTTTTATATATATTTATAATTTATTAGGTACTTGGAAATCAAATAGAGGCGTTAACAGATGAACAAATGATGGGGATTTGCAATTTACAGCATTCTTCACAACAAGCTGAGGATGCTTTGTCACAAGGAATGGAAGCTTTACAACAATCAATTGTCGACACAATTTCTTCGAATTCGATTTGCGATCGCTATGTCGAACAAATGGCGATTGCAATGAGCAAGCTCGCGACGCTCGAGAATTTTCTCCGTCAGGTTTTTTTTCCCTCGATTTTGTACCTCTTTTTTGATATAACGAAAAAATCAATTGCTCATGTTTTTTATTAAAATTTGTAATAATAATGTGTTTAACGAGGTTTAGTGTTCGATTTTTGTTATTATTGATAGGCGGATCTTTTGAGACTGCAAACGTTGCAACAACTGCAGCGGATCTTGACCCCACGGCAAGCGGCTTGTGCTCTTCTCGCCATAAACGATTACAAGTCGAGGCTTCGAGCTCTTAGTTCGTTATGGTTAGCAAAACCCAATTAGGAAAATGATTCGATTCGTTATTATATTTTAATTTGTTCGATTTTCCATGCCTATGTAGAAGTTGCTTGTGTAGAGATCGAAATGTTCGATTTATTACCAATGTTTTTGTTAGCCATTAGTATCCAAGAGATCAATGTATGTAGACGAACGCAGTTTGGTAAGATTAATCGTGATTAATTAATTAATTAATTAGGCCGTATTCGACGTTTGTTAAATCAAAACGCAGATGTTCTTTTCTGTTGGCGCCATATTTCCGGCTATTGAAGATCGAGGAAATCCGCCAAGTTTTGGAATTAAAAGATTGGCAAAGATTTGTTTTCCATATTTATTTTGGAATTTATTAGAGTCCTATTCTCATAATACTTCTATTAGGACTTAGATTTATTTCCATGTATTTTATTCTAGTTAGGTATCTTTTGTACTTATCTAGAATAGAAGTAGAAATCAACTAGGATTCTATTACCTAGTTAAATAGATTTCTTGGGGTTCAAGTTAGGTCTTAGGGCTTATTTTCGTGGCTATATAAGCCTCCAAGACATACAAGAACCGTGTGCATTATTTGGGAGAAAAACCTCTTCATAGCATCGAAGTTTTGCCAAGGCGTTCTGCGGAGCAGGACTGTGCCATCGTTGCACTGTGCCAACATATACAGATTTGCTGTATAGATCTCAAGGGAGATCAGCCGCGTTTTCTGAAGGGAGTTCAGGCTTGAAGAAAGTTCAAGGCACGCGGGTGGAGCTGCTGTTGGAAGAAACACGAAGTTCGAGTTGTGTACAAGAACGGCATATTACATAAAGAGGGAGTCTTTAGTGTTTTTAATAAGTCCTATTAATGTACACTGTAAATCTGAACTAGTGAAATCGTGTTTGCAGGTCCACGTGGATGTAGGGCACATTTGTGTCTGAACCACATTAATTCCTTGTGTTCATTTATTTGCTTTAAGTAGTTTATAACTGTGTTAACACAAGAATTATAGTTGTAACTGAATACTGTTTCCACAACTTAACTGTTACAACTTAGGTTAATTGATTTCTATAGGCATATAAATCATCAATTGGCATCAAGAGCCTCTCACTAGATAAACATAGTGTGTGATTTTGGGAATTTGATTTATTTGCCATTTTCTTCCATAGGTACTATGAATGCTCATATGGCAGGCGGTTCCACGACTCGCCCACCACTGCTTACTGGAACCAATTACTCTTATTGGAAGACCAAGATGAAGATGTTCATCAAGTCAATGGATGAAGATGCATGGCGCACAGTTCTGACTGGCTGGAAACGACCTGTTGCCACAGATGAAAAAGGAATTCAAACTGAGAAACATGAAAAAGACTGGAGCAAAACTGAACAGATTGCCGCAAATATGAATTCCAAAGCATTGAATGCCATATTCAATGGAATTGATATCAATCAATTCAAAATCATCTCAGCATGTGAGTGTGCCAAGGAAGCATGGGAAAAACTTCAAACAGCCTATGAGGGGACTACCTCTGTTAGATTATCAAAACTTCAGATGCTTGCTACTCGTTTTGAGGATCTTCGGATGGAGGAAACTGAAACCGTGAGCGATTTCAACTCCAAATTATGCGACATCGCAAATGAAGCCCATGGCCTCGGTGAAACTTACCCTGAAGTAAAACTTGTTCGTAAAGTGCTGAGATCTATGCCAGACCGGTTCGCATATAAGGTCACTGCTATAGAGGAAGCAAGTGATGTGGACTCATTGCGGCTTGAAGATCTGATCGGAAATCTACAGACCTTTGAAAACAAGCTGAACATCAGTAGAATGGATAAAGAGAGAAAAATTGCTTTACAAACTGTGTCTGTTGTGACACCATCCGTGCCCTCAGCTCCCATGACAGCACTCGAAGTCAAGCTAACAAAATCCATGTCTCTAATAGCCAAAAACTTCGGAGAACTCGTTAAAATGAATGGAGAATGTCGTGGCTATGGTCATATTCAATCTGAATGTGCAAACACTCAGAAGAAGCAAGGAAAATCACTTGCCACAACCTGGAGTGACGATAACTCTGAATCTGATGATGACAGTGAAGCAAGTGATGCTGAAACAAGTATTGACTTCTGTGGTACATGCAGGGTTACTGGCGTGACACAAGATGATGTCATATGCACTGAGCCGTCACACCATAGGATCACTAAAGTGACACAGGGTGATGTCACATGCACTGAGCCACCACACCTCAGGTATGCTACTCGTAATCTCGAGAATAATAGAAATTTAAACACTGTTTTTTTGCCCACAGGAGAAGAAGATTCAGAAGATGATGAAGAATGCTCCATTGAGAAGATTCAACAGCAACTGAATGATCTTCTAAAGCAATGTCATGAGGTTGGTGATGAAAACAGGTGTTTGAAGGAGAAAGTGAAGGAACTGGAAGAGGAGAATGAAGCAATTAAAGTCAATCTCAAGGCCAGAATCGACGAGCTAGAATTGGAAAATGAGGTACTGGAGGTAAAACATGATTTTGCTTTGAAGGATATTGACAATCTAAAAGAATTGCTGAGACATTTGCGAAACAACGATTGCAATAAAGCAAGGGAGATCAAGAAAAATCCTGCTCCAAAGATAAATGATGAACCCTGCCTCAACCTGAAGTGTGGCAACGCCCCTGTTGCAACAGCATTAGAGGCATCAGCCAGTAAGCTAAATCGCACTACGATTTTTCCTTCAAACAGGTTAGATGAAATTTTAAATGCTTATCCCTCAAATCCTGATAAACTTGGTCTTGGCTATATTGGGAGTAGGTTCGATGGTAAACCAAATCCAAATCGAAAAATTAATTTTGTGAATAATACTGTCAAACCTACTCCACAACATGTTGTCTCACAGTCTTATATAAAAAGATTTGTGCCAACTTGTCATTTCTGTCACAAAGTAGGACATGTTAGGCCAAAATGCTTTAAAAGATGGAAATTGATAAATAAGAGTTTAGCATATCAATCATCCAATTCCGCTGCATGGGATCACAATTCCCAAAGATACTCTGATAATAAATGGATGAATAAGTATAATGCAAACTGTTTTCCTGCTATTCTTTCTTTAAAAGCATGTACTACTAACTCCTGGTATTTTGATAGTGGTTGCTCCAAGCATATGACAGGTGTACCTAATTACTTAAAAAACCTGCATAATGTGTCTGGTGGACAAGTTACTCTTGGTGATGGAAACAAGGCCTTTGTGAAAGGAGAAGGTAACTTGGATGTTGGAGGATTACCTAACCTTGACAACATTCTGTATGTAGAGGGTTTGAAATCAAACCTACTCAGCGTAAGTCAGCTATGTGATCTATACGACTCAGTGTTATTCACCAAGCGTAAGTGTGAAGTGTTTGATCAAAACAACAGGTGTGTTCTATCTGGTTATAGATCCTCTGATAATTGTTATAAAATTGATCAAACTGACCAAGTTGAACAGTGTCCCCTCACCACCTCTGATATCACAGATATGTGTTGTCATCGACTGGGGAATTTGAATTTTCAGGATCTAACACGAAATATCAATGCAGGTTGTGTGAAAAGTGTTCCCCAACTAAACTCCAATACACCAGACTTATATGGCGAATTTCTAATGGGGAAGCAAACTGAGAGCATTGGAAGAGAAATACCAGAAGAAAAAATCACAGAAGTATCAGTGCCGACATCTGATGTCACAACTGAAGACGTTACCACTGGTAAAGAATGTATGAAAACTTGCAATAAGCCGAAGGTTGACTACCAGGAAATGGTCAGGTATGTCTATTTCACTTCCACTGTAGAACCAAAAAACATCAAAGAAGCAATTCTTGATGAATTTTGGGTGTTAGCCAAGCTTGAAGAACTTGAGCAGTTTTCTCGAAATGACATGTGGGAACTGGTTCTGAGCAATGACAAGGTAAAGCAACTAGAGGATGAGGTATTTATCTCACAGAGCAAATATGCCAAGAACGTGGTAAGTAAATTTGGGTTGCAAAAGGCAAAGCCTTTAACAACACCAATGACCTCAATTGAGAAGTTGAGACGAGATTGTGATGGCACAGACGATGATTCCACACTATACAAGAGCTTGATAGGAAGTTTGTTTTATCTTTCTGCTAACAGATATGATATTCGTTTCAGTGTAGGTATTTGTGCTAGGTACCAAGCAAGCCCTAAAGAGAGTCATTTGAGTGTTGTAAAGCGCATTATCCGATATGTTAGTGGAACACCCGAATTGAGAAAATGGTATTCAAAAGATACTAACAATTGTCTTGCAGGGAACAGTGATGCTGACTGGACAGGAGATGTGGATGACAGAAAAAACATCACAGGAGGTTGTTTCTACATGGGTAACAATTTGGTATCTTGGTACAGTAAGAAACAAAATTCCATTTCCTTATCTAATGTTGCGTGTGAATACATAGCTGTAGGTAGCTGTTGCACTCAACTCTTTTGGATGCAACATATGTTAAATAACTATGGCTTTCGTGAAAAAGAGTTGCATGTTCTTTGTGATAATGAGAGTGCCATAAATATTTCAAAAAATCATGCTCAACATTCTAGGACAAAACATATAGATATTCGTCTTCATTTCATCAGACAATTAGTTGAGCAGAAATGTGTGACTATAGATTATGTGTCCACAGACAATCAATTAGCTGATATTTTCACAAAGCCCCTCGACTTCCTTAGGTTTGATTCCTTGCGTAAAGCGCTTGGAATTTGCCATGTGCAAAACTGAATTTTCTATGATAGTGCAATTAATATTTGTGTCCGGATTGCACTTGAATTTTTTAATCGGACATTATATGTGTCACCTAAATGTGACATCATTGTTTTTGGAATAGGAATGATGGGAGATTCATTTTGACTAATTGTTTGTGTGTTAGTTTTTGTGAATTAATTTTTGTTTCCACAGATAACCATAATAGAAGTGTGCTGCCCCCTCTATCGGGAGTGATCAATGACTATGACCTCATTCATCTCAAAGATCATACCTCTATTGGGAAAATTATGTTACCGCATATGCATCTCTGACTTCTATTTAAAAGCTATGTGGATTCTTAGGGAGGTTGCCCTCCTAATGTTTGCTTGAACATCATATCAACAAAAAAAAAGGAGAAGAAGAAAAATAGTTCGATTTAAAAAAAAAAAAAAAAAAAAAAAAAAAAAAAAAAAAAAAAAGAGGAGAGAGAAG